TTTTTTTTTTTTAAAAAAAAAAAAAAAAAAAAAAAAAAAAAAAAACAACGATAACCAAAATAAAACTGAGACAAGACAAGAATCCATAAAGATATGATAGATAGATTGTAAGATTCTGGCATTCTTTGAGACCTGACCATTTTTTTTGTTGAATTTTTCAAAAAAAAAGAGTAATAAATCATTGTTAATATTATGGATGTGGATTATACCAATGATGATGATATTTGTCGAATATTGTTAAAAATCAATCTACATCAATTGTTTTGTTTTATTTTGTTTTGAATTGCATTGAATAAACAAACAAACAAACAAATTGAAGAACAGACAGAGATAGACAAAGAAAAACACAGAATTTTTCTATCAATTCATTCAAATGGAAATCGAATGTAGAGAAAAACAAAAAAATGCAAATTGTAATAACACTTGACTTGTTTATACTTACTGAATCTAAACATTCATTTATTCATTGATTCTTTTCGGTCAAATGAATGCTTGATTGAGTTTTAAGTTTTTTTGTCTTCATCTTACACCACGTAAATTGTTCAGACAAATTATGTTATGGAACAACACAATGACAATAATGACAAATGACAATATATAAAGATATTTTAGGCAAATATTCGATTTATCTTCATTGTTTTTTTTCTCAAGTATTATTTCTAAGTAATAATATCGCCATACTATCGATTATTTGTATTTCAAAGAATGTGAAAACATTCAAATGATAGAAAACAGAATAAACAGAATCATTGATTATTTAGGAAATGATTCATTGTGTGTATGTTTTTATGCATTCAGATGATGATAAATAAATAAATAAACTATTCATGTAGCCTCAGTATTTTCTTTGAATTGCTTTCATGATAAGTGAAATAATGATGACAATAATATTCTGTTTTTTTTCTTTCTTTCAACAAAAAATGAAAAAAAGAAATGATTCACTTACATGGTATATTCAATGGAATCAATATGATTAATATGATAAAAAATAAACCATAATATTCTAATTGAAATTTTTGTGCATTCAATATTGATGGTTGTTTATTTTTCTTTCGATTCATTCGATTAATATTTGTATTGCTTGCATCCGGTGTTGATGATGATGATGATGATAATTCATCAATCAGATAATGTTCTTCAAGCTGTTGATCATCATCATTATCTTCCAATGGTTGTGGTGGTTGTTCAGCTGAATGATCAGAACAATGTGGATCTGGATATCGAATAGAATTTGAATTTGAACAAAAACGTATATGGAAAAATCAAACAAACAAAAAAGAAAAGAAAAGAATTTACCATTGAAAGAATCGATAGAGAATAACCGATTGTATAGAATGTCATTATTATTCTTCGATGATGATGATGAAGAATCATTTTGTCCATATGATTTTGACATTTGATGTTGATTTTCTTGATTCATTATTGATGAAATTATATTGCAACCATCATTAATAGCCATACCACAAGGTAAATTCAATTGTTGTTGTTGTCTTTGCCATTGTTGTTGTTGTTGTTGACAATATTGTTGTTGTGATGTAATAATATTTTTGATACAATTTTTTCCATCATTACTTTCGATATATCCTTTGGGACATCTGTTTGTTATTTTTTTTACCAAAAGGGGGTGAGAAATTAAATATGGACAATTTTATTAATGAAATGATAATGATAATAATCGAAAAATTACAAAATCAAAATGATAATAACAAAAAAAAAGAAAAGAAAAAAAAAGAAATCACCATTATTATAATGATGAAAAAATCGATTTATCAGGTGCAACAACAACAACAACGAAAATCAAGCGCATATCATTCTCGAATAAATTACCCGGGAAATAAACGGGAAAAACACTTCATTTTGAACGTAAAAAACAGTTTTCTTCTTCTTTTTTTTGTTGAAATTATGTTAAAAAAAAACAAACATTTTCACAGATATTCTATTGAAGTAATTATAAACAAGAATTTTAAATTTTTGTTTGTTTATAACAACAACAATAACTGTTAGTTGAGCAACATTATGAATAAATAATGTTTGTAATTTTTGTTTTTGGTTTCCGGTGTTTGTTATAAACATTGTTGCTGTTATCATAGAATTCTATTTCATTCTATAACAAAAAAAAACAGAAAAAAATTGTGAAATGAACAAGAAAAAGTTTATGAGATTGAAATCTCATCGGAATTTGAGAATTAAAAAAATTTGAAAAAATTGCAAAATTTTTTCAAATTAAACGAATCGATTCTCTCTCTCTCTCTCTCTCTCTCTCTCTCTCTCTCTCTCTCTTTCTTTTCTGGAAAGTTTTCATTTCGGTGTGTGTTGCTCAACAACAAAACATAAATAAATGAATCAAAAGAATTTGAAAGTAAAAGAAAATAGCAAAGAATCAAAAGTGAAACAACAATGAAAAAAAATGATAACTGTCCTTAATGATCACATGGTGTGAACGAACAATAACGAAAAGAATCGGAAAAAAATGATGAAAATTTCTTGGAACTTTTGCTGTGTTTTTTTTCATTCTCTGAAACAACAAAAAAAACTTTTCACTTCAAAATGAAAATGAAAAAAAAACAAAAAAAAAGAAAAACACATGTAAAACAATGGCAAAAACCAATGAATATTTATAAAGAATTTTTTCCACTTTTTTCACTATATTTCAAACATCATCATCATAATTATGTGTTGGAATAGCCAGAATTTAGTTCAAAACTAATACTAACGATAATGATGATGATGAAATAGAGAAAAAGGAGAAAAAAATGTTCATGTTCAATGTTCGACGGGGTGGATAAAATTATGAAATCTTTGGGTAAAAAAATTTTTTTTTTTGATCAAAAGTCAATTACAAACAAAACAAAAAATGTGTACACCTTTTAATGGAGAAATCGATTTGCTAAGGAAAAAATTTAGCTAAAATCAGCAGTTTATCGGAATTGATTTGCGTGTTGACAGTGGTACAAAACAGAACCAAACAAAACAAAAAAGATAAGAAAATAAAAAAAGTATTATGAGAAACACTGACCTGCATTTGGCAACCATCCATTCATCGATACAGATGAATGGTTTACGACAATGTAATTCAATACAAGAATTGATCGGTGGTGATTGACATCCGTTACGAATATTTTGCTGTTTTGTTATCGAAATTTCAATAATCATTTCTTNACAAGAATTTTAAATTTTGTTTGTTCATTTCGATTGTTTATAACAACAAAATAATTGTTAGTTGAGCAATAACATTATGAATAAATAATGTTTGTAATTTTTGTTTTTGGTTTCCGGTGTTTGTTATAAACATTGTTGCTGTTATCATTGAATTCTATTTCATTCTGGAAAAACAAGAAAAAATTGAACAAGAAAACAAAAAGTTTATGAGATTGAAATCTCATCGGAATTTGAGAATTAAAAAAAAATGAAAAAAATTTGAAAAAATTGCAAAATTTTTTCAAATTAAACGAATCGATTCTCTTTCTCTCTTTTCTGGAAAGTTTTCTTTCGTGTGTGTATTTTGCTGTTCAACAACAAAACATAAATAAATGAATCAAAAGAATTTGAAAGTAAAAAAGAAAATAGCAAAGAATCAAAAGTGAAACGAAACAACAACAACATAGAAAAAAATGATAACTGTCCTTAATGATCACATGGTGTGAATGAGAACAACAACGAAAAGAATCGGATGATGAAAATTTCTTGGAACTTTTGCTGTGTTTTTTTTAAATTCTCTAAAACAAAAAAAAAACTTTTCACTTCAAAATGAAAAACACATGTAAAACAATGGGAAAACCAATGAATATTTATAAAGAATTTTTTTACTTTTTATTTCGAACAACATCATTATGTGTGTGATAGAAAAGCCAGAATTTAGTTCATAACTAACGATAATGATGATGAAATAGAAAAGGAGAAAAGAAAATGTTCATGTTTTGTTCGACGGGGTGGATAAAATTATGAAATCCTTGGGTAAAAAATTTTTTTTTGATCAAAAGTCTATTACAATGTGTACACCTTTCAATGAAAAAATCGATTTGCTAAGGAAAAAATTTAGCTAAAATCAGCAGAATTGATTTGCGTGTTGACAATGACAAAACAAAACAAAAAAAAAGATAAGAAAATAAAAAAGTATTATGAGAAACTGACCTGCATTTGGCAACCATCCATTCATCGATACAGATGAATGGTTTACGACAATGTAATTCAATACAAGAATTGATCGGTGGTGATTGACATCCGTTACGAATATTTTGCTGTTTTGTTATCGAAATTTCAATAATCATTTCTTTATTCTGATCATCATTATTGTTGTTGTTGTTTGGTTTGGCATGTTTCATTGTTGTCTTATGTTGTTGTTGATTTTTAACGGCCATCAAGTTAATGTTCGAATGGCTTAATGATGGATGATTCGATGAATCTATTGGCCATTGCTGTTGTTCATTGATTATTCTTCGACCATCATTATCATTATTTGATAAAGTATTTGGACGGTCAATTGTATTGAATGGTTGAATAAAATCACCCAATGAAATGTCAATGTCATTTATTTTCAAATCACTAATACAGCCTTTTTTGTTTATTCGAATCCAAACAAAACAAACAAACATAAATGAATGGGAAAAAAATGGAATGAAAACAAAAAAAAAAGAGATTAGATTAGATTAGGAATGACAATCACAAGTCGATTCTTAGAAACAGAAAAAAGAAAACAAAGAACAAATCATGTAAAAGCATTTTGTTTATGTAATAAATACCATCGGCAAAATTATCAATAATGTTTGTTTTATCAACGGTCAAATGACTGACATCACCACCGATAACGATATGTTCACTATTCATATCGAAAAGAAAATATCCATCATATAATGATCCACCATATTTCAATCGTCGACGATTATGTTCATTATTAAAATTGTTCAATGAAGAATAACGTGCCATTTTTCCAACACCACCATTATCAAGAATTAATTGAGCTGATTGTCCCATACGTATAGCACGTACATAATGCCAACGACCATCATTGATTAAGAATGAATCGATCGATAATCGATGTTCAGAAGATTTAATTCCCGTTGGATTAAGATTGAAACGAAATACAATATGAGCTTCACGTATTTCGATTAGACAATATGTTTGTATATTTTTACCAATCAATTTAATGATTCGACTTTGCCATTGTCGTGTACGGAAATAGAAATCGATTTTTGTTACAAATCCTTTATCATATTCAGTATGATAAAATTCTGTCATATCAAATGTAGATTGTGTCATCAAATTATCATTATAATTGATAAGTTTTAAAGAAAGTTGTAGAAAACTTTTCTGTAAAAACAATACCGGTCGATCAATTTGTTCACAATGTTTGCCATAAAAACCTCGTGGACAATGACATTTTACATGATTATAGCTGCCATCACAATAGCCATTATTTTGACATTTTTTATTAAGAAAAGCACACAATGATTGAGCTATTTGAAGGGGAATATAAAAAAGAAGAATTTTTCGTCCACAATCAAACAAATCATACCAAAAAAAAATTTGTCAAGAATTTTTGAGAAAAAAAAAGAAAGAAAGAAATTACATGAAAACTTACATGAATGGCAACCAATTTGTGTATTAAATGAATGATGTACATTTATAAGATCGTACATATGATTGTTAAAAATAACATTCTTTATACAGCCATTAAAACCGACAATACGTTTGCGTCGTATGGAGGATGTCGATGATGATAATGTTGATGGTAATGGTTGATGACTAAGTGCCGACATTATAATCGGTGGCAATATCGATTCGATACTAACATTGTCATCATTAAAATCTGTTATCGAAGATGTTGCTGTTGATATATTAACATTTTTAGACATTATTTTCGATGCCATTATTGATGTTGTTGTTAATAGTTCGATTCCACCCAATTGTAACGGTGCATTTACATTCAAAACATGTTGAAATTTTGTTATAATCGAATAATTTTGACATTTTTCCATTGTCATTCGATCAATGTCTGAAAATGATCCAGTATGATAATGGCGAAATTGATCATCATCATTATTCAACGATGATGATGATGATCGTTGTTGTTGTTGATCATGTTGAACATGATGAATACATGCATCAAGCATTAAATGTACTAAATTTGAATCAAATTGTATATCCAATTGATGCCAATTTCCATCATTTAAATGTCCATTTTCAATGTTAATAGTTATTTCTTGAATACCGGAACCAAAATCAAATAGTAATCGAGGTGATCCTAGAATATTTTTTTTTTATTTTTTTCCCAATCGAGAATATATAAAAAAAAATAAGTATCGAGTAAGTTGTACGGTTGTAAATAAAACGAAAACGAAAATAAATAAAAAAGAAATAAAAAGTAAATTGTTGGAAAAAGAAAATGAAATGGTGAAAAAAGAGAAAAAGAAAAGAAAAGAAAAAGAATCCAATCAAGTATAAATCAAATCACAAAATATTGATTACATCAGGATATATCATCAAGCTGGTTTGGTTTTCATTATCATCATTGTTATATTCATTCAAACTATTTCTACATTTTTACATCTAACCAAGTCAATATATACGAAATATATAGCGAGAAAATATATCTCGAGAGAATTATTTTTTTTTTTGGTGAAAAGAGATATTTTTTTCCTGAATGAACAAAAAGAAAAAAAGATTGAATTGAAACAAGTAACAAAAAAAAAGGAACTCAACAATGATGAACTCAATCATCATCATCATTTTCACTATCTTTCCTGGTTGTATATAGTGTGATGATGAATGAAAGAAAAAATGAACCAAATGACAATGGTCCGAAAATGAAATCAAATCAACCGAATCGAGAGAGAGAGAGAGAGAGAGAGAGAGAGAGCTAAAATGAAATGATATTCTACTGTTTGAGATAAAGGAAGACAAGGGGTAAGCAAAGAATAATAACAGAACAAAACAAAAAAAATGAATCAACAAACCATCAACCAATTCGAGAAACATGAAATCTGTTTCATCAGATTGTTGTTGTTGTTGTTGTTGTTCAATACCGGTTCCATAAAATGATGATGATGATGATGATTTGATTGGTCCATAGTAGAAAATAATTCCATTAGGATCGGTTGTTGATATTTGTACACTAAAAACATTTTTACTTTTTGTACAAATTGGTAATGGATCTAGCCATATAATTCCATCCGATTTGAATGATCGTATATTGGTTATTGTTGTTGTTTTTGATGGTTGTATAATTTGATCTCGATTCTGTTGTTGTTGTTGTTGTTGTTGTCGTTCATATTGTTGTTGTTGATTATAATAATTGATAAAAAGACAACGAAAATTAAGATTAGTGATCGATGTCATTAGGCTACGTGTAAAAAGATTTATTCGTTCTTGTTGATAACAAGATGCAGATGCAGATGTGGATGAAGATGATGATGATAAATACAATGATGGTGGTTGACATAATATCTGATCAATATCACAGTTAAATTTATGATCAACAATATATGTTAATAATTGATCATAAAAACATTGGCACTTAATTTTTGTTATAATATTTATACCAATAAATGATGTAAAATTTGCATCAATCAATTGATATGGATCAGTCCAATCGATTAATATATCTGTCATACAACCATTTGATTGTTGTGAACATTGATGATTACGATTTTCTTCATTCATCATACAATCATTGATACCAAATTCAATAATATTAAGATTTGTTTGTGAACGAATATGATCACTAGCTATTTTAGCCATTGAATTTAGATAAATTGATGATAAATATTGATTATTTTTTCTTGCCGAATAACGTATATCTAATGATGATAATTTTTGATTCCATTTGATCGAAATAATTGCCAACCAATCACAATTGAATAATTGTTTTAAACATAATTCTAATCGTTCTTTATGGCTAATTATTTGTCGACGTTTTTGCCAATCCCATATTCGTATAAATTCCATTGCATCCAATAAATTAATTATTCGTAATGAACCGGAATTAATTATTGCTTCAAATGGTAATGATTTTATCATAATATTCATTGTTGATTGTACCATATGTTGATAACGACGATCAAATATTTGAAATTTTAATTTAAATAATCCTTTTGAAAGTTTTCTTGCTAAAACTTGTCCACGATTTGAATCGATATAGAAATTATTTCTTAAATTTGAATCTATTGTCGATGTTGGTTGTTCAAGCCAGGAAAATTTTTTATCACCAACATCCCAATCATCAGGATCTTCTACATTGATTTGTCCCAATTCGATCGGTCGATAAAGGCTTTTTTTCGTTGTTGTTGTTGTTGTTGTTTCAATGTCGGCAATGATTTTCCGGAGAAATGGGAGAAAAAAAAAGAGAGAATTATTATCATTTTTTTGGGATGTAGTTTTTTGAAAAAAGTAACAGTGAAGAAACATTCAAACACCATAATTATAGATCAAAAAGTGAAATTTTTACAAAATGAAAAAAGCAAAAGCAAAAAAATTCAGACAATTCAATTATTTTTTCTCGCTATATCAGTATCATCATCCATTCTCACTATCGAATTTTTATTTTTTGGTTCTTTGCCCCCACCCCCTCCTTTTTTTACACGAGAGTGAGGAATTACTGAGCCAAGGATATGGTGGTAGTGGTATGGCAGGAAGCAAGTGGATCTTGCTCGTCACCAAAATCCAAAAAAAAACAAATCGAAATTTTTGTTTCAAAAAAAAATTTAACAAAATAAAACACATTTGATTCAATCAAGAAGACAAGAAGATAGATTATCAATTTACAGGAAATTTGATGATGGTGATGGAGAAAAAAGAAAAGAATTTTTTTTTTTTGTCGTTTCAATCTAATCATCAATTCATTCATTTATATACGGCGTAGTGGTGGTGGGTGTGTGTATGTGCTGGCGGCGGGAGGATGGGTGTTTGTGTTTTGTTTGAAATTCGATTTTTTCGTTTTCGTTCTGTTTTTGTTTTTTTTTTTTGCAAATCAAAAGAGAAAAATGAGATAAAATTACCATTATCATCGCCAAGAGAGCAAAAAAAAAACTCAAATCATGATCAACATCGTTGAAAACACTAACGTTAAATGAATTTCGTTTTTTTTTTGGTGAAAGAATCATTTTTGAAATATTTTTCTGCGAATGGCGAGCTATCATCATTCTGGGGTTTGGGTCGTTGGTTGATATTAAGGAAAGTGCCAAAAAAAAAATTTGAATGAAAAAAAAAACAGAATTGATTTTTGCTTTTTTTCCATTTTCGTTTCTGTCTTTTAGCTTTATTGATACAAAATAAAAGAAGAAGAAAAAAAAAGGATAGATAGCTCGGGTCCAACCGAAAAAAAAAACGACTAAAGTGGTAATGGGAAGCCAAAAAAAAAAAGAATCTAATCATTTAGTCTAATATGGAAATGGATGTTTCCTTTTTTCATTTCGGCTAAACGTATGTTTTTTTTGTGTGTGAAAGGAAAAGAATTTTTCGACATAAATTATATCGGCAATGGAAAAAAATGTTTGTGTGTATTGAAGAAGTAAGTAAAAAAAAAATTCAACATTTCATTTCTTTTCATTGTTTTGGCCCGGGTTTTTTCATTCATTCTTTCTCTTGCTTTCCCCATAGATATATTCTTCTTGGATTCTCCATCTTCATAAACTATGAAACTATGAAACAAAACAAAAAAAATTTTAATCATAATAGCATTATATGATGATGATGACATAATTCATTGAGAATATCTCATATGGGAATCACACACATGCATACTTTTATTTATATTAATATGCATAGAATGAATATTATTTCGGTGCCATTTGTTTTGCTTTTTTTTTGAAAACACTAATAATAATCTTTGTGTCTTCTGTTTGCTGGTTTGGATGTTCACGTTTACCATGATTTAAAAGTATTTAAATTACAAACAAAACAAAAGACATTTTTTCTCCACACAATTTTTCGGTTTGGTTTGACAAATGCAATGTTACAGTGGTCTTTCTTTTCTTTTAAAGGGCATAAAAAGATATCTAATTCAAAAACATTTCTTTGTCAACCAAAAAAAAAACTTTATAAATTCTGAGAAATTTTCCGAAAAATGATTACAGAATATTTAGCTAATGAAACATTGGTCAATCAACAGATGAAGCAAACTAAATATTTTTTATATCAAGATGGTGATAATTCAAAAGAAATCTTTCCGGAAAAAAAATCACGGAAATTATTTGCACGTTGAAATACAAATATTTGAAGAAACAAAAAAAAAAGAAAAAGAAAAAAGATGAAAAAAAAACAAAAGAAGAAGAAGAAGAATACAATCGAAGGAGAAAATAAGAATTCTTGAAATAGAAAATTTTCTTTTTTCATTTTTTTTTCCGAAAATTTTCTCTGGCGTTTTTTTGTGTTTCCGAATTCTCGTGAAAAACAAAACAAAACAAAACAAATCATAACCCTATGATCATCATTATCATTGAAAGATTTTTTTTGTTTGTTTTCGAGAAAAACAAATATCCAAAATTAAAAATGAAAAAAAAAATACAAAAATGAAAGCCGCCAAAGGAAAATAAAATAAATGTTTGACATCTCCTCGGCTGTTGTTGCAGATGAAAAGAATTTTTTTTCCCGAAAAAACAACAGAATTCATTTTTGCTTTTTGTTTTCGTTTTGTTTTAACCATGTTGCCTACATTCGGGTTATCATTATTATTATGTGAATGTTTATTTGTGGAAAATGAATATGGAAAGAGAGAGAAAGAGAATTCATTCAGAGTGAAAAAAAAACGAAAAATTTCATTTTCCTATCAATTCAGTATTCTCAAATTCTGTGTGTTTTGTGTTTTCATAAATGTATAGAATGTATACGATGATAACAAATTCCACATTCTGGAGAGAAAGAGAGGGTGAGAAAACAAATTCTTGAAAAAGGTTATTTATTTATCTTTTTTTTTCCACACAGAAAACAAAAATGAATCTAATGAATTGAATTGAATTGAATGCAAAAACATTCAAATAGAATTTTAAATTTATTCTCTCTGTTTTTATTTTGTGTTTTGTATTGAGTGCCATTCGTTTGTTTTAATATTTTGATATTTTTTTGGCCAAACCACGATGATGACAATGTCGTTTTTGTTATAATATTTTTAAAATCGATAATTTTTTTTTATTATCTGGTTTCGATCGATAATTTTAAACAAATTTTTGGAAATTATTTCCTGGAAAAATTATTTCGGGAAAACTTTTCTTACGATCAAGGAAAATCCGTAAACAAGCAGCAACAACAACAGAAAATCAAAAACAGCAAAAGCAAAAAAAAAATGATGGATCTTCAAAGAAGATTAAGAATAAAAAGAGAAAGTGAAAATTCTGTTTTTCACAAGCAAAAAAAAAAATCTTAATCATAATAAATCACATTCACACACAATAGACAAAATATTCATGAAATCTTTTTATACCGACAAAGTTGCAAGTGAAAAAAATGAAATGAAAAGAATCTAGCTACTGATCCAGTATAAAAAACAAGAATTTTTTTTTGTGACAAACCTTTTCACTTGATTCTTTGTTGTTGTTGGTGGTGATTCGTCAACATTTCCATCATCATCATCATCGTCATCGTTGTTGTTGTTGTTGTTGTTGGTTTTTGTTCGCCATTGTTGTTGTTGTCGATGTTGTTGTTGTTGATTATAATCAACATAAAAAACATGAACATTTTTCCATCCATCTTTCATATCATTATCATTAATATCACCAATAGTTATTGTTATAAATGTTGTTGATGATAATGATGGATAACCAGAATCATTGACAACAATTGGTATTTGATATTGTTTTTGTTGTTCACGATCAAATGTTTGTCTACTATATAAAATAGCATGTCCATCATCATTATTATCACCATTTTGAATTGATTCTAAACGAAATTTTTGTCGTATAATTTCCGATGCATTTGGATCAATTACGAATGTAAATGGTGGTCCATTTCCTATTTGTTGTTTTTTGTTTTGTTTCAAAGAAGAATTACAACAAGCAAATCAATGAACAATGTTTAAATCTTTGTTTATCTAGAATGTTTTTGTTTTGTTTAAATCTTTGTTTATTTAATTACCTTTAGCATAATCATCACGATCATAAGCATAAATATTACCTAAACGTGTTGGATGAACATTTTCCTGTATTGTTGGTAATGTTTGATTGATTATAAATGGTGCATTATCATTAATATCATCAACATTTATAACTAATGTTGCTGTTGAACTTAATGGTTGATCTGAATCCAAATCGGTTGCAATAATTTTAACAATATGTAATGAAATTGTTTCACGATCTAATTGACGATTAAGTCTTATAATACCGGTATCTGAATCGATTTGAAAATATTTTTGCCAATTTGTTTGTTCATCCAGACTATAATAAACTGTTTGTTGTTGTTGTTCAAAATCGCTATCATCATGTTGATCAATTGTTGTTGATGATGATGATGATGACATTGAATGACGTCGATCTGGATCATAGGCAATAAATTTTGCTACAATCGATCCTAACGGTAATGTTTCAACAACAGTAATATTTAGAAAATTTTGTAAAAATTTTGGCTTATTATCATTTATATCACGAATTTTTATATAAATGTAACAAATATCACTATGTTTTGGATCATTCAAAATGTCATTCGTGTTGTATTCGTGATGATTATATGTTTGTTGTTGTTGTTGTTTTCGTTGTTTTTCATTGACATTAATTACGTTTATATCACTACCATCATTATTATTATCATAAACACTATCAACATTATCAGTGACCAAAATTTTAAGCATAATAAATCGTTGCCTTGGATTTTCATAATCCAATGTTCGTGTTAATAATAATAAGGCACAGGTATTTGTTGAATAAATTCCTGTTGTTTGATTCATAGATAATTGTCCATTTTTTAATGAAATTTTTTTATTCATTTTTTGTCGTTCAATTCTTGGATTATTATTATTATTATCATCATCATCGGTCATTTGTTTGACAATAAAATAATCACTAATATTCGAATGAGTGAATTGATCATTTTGATCATCATTGAAATTCATTTCATTTTGTAATATGATTGGTTTTGATGACCATTTTTCTTGTAAAATTTTAAATGTAAATGAATTACTTTCAGGCAGATCATTATCATTGATAAATAATTTGAGCAATATTTTTGATTGAAATAAATTTGTTGAATTTTTTATTGATGAATCAAATTGATCATCATTTTCATCCAATTCAATATGCCATTCATTTTTTTCAAACATTGGTCGACAATCATTTTGATCCAATACTGTTATTTGAACGGTTGCGTTTGCCTTTTTTGATCAAAACACAAAAACGAATGAAAAAAAGTAAAATTAAAATTTAAAAAATCAGAAAAATAAGAAAAGTAAAAAATGAAAATCTAAAATTTAAATTACAAAATCCAGAAAAAAAAATATTCTGTTGGGAATAATCAGACAAAAAAACAACAACAACAAAATGACAACAACAACAACAAAGCAACAACAACAAAAATTATCATCAAAAATCAAATAATCATTGAGAGATGAATAAAATACTCGACAAACGACAACAACAACAACTATTGAACAATAAGAACCCGAACATCAAACAACAAACAACAACAAAGTGACATCCGAATATCAAAAAAAAAAACTGACTGCCTTGTCAACAAAGATATACAACACCACCAACAACAACAACAATGATAATATTGAATGATGAATACATTATTATGAAGAAGATAGGAAGAAGATATTCCCATTCATTCATTCATTCATTCATCATTGGAAAGTATTTCCAAATGGTATAAAAAAAATATAACAAATTTCTTGATGAATAATAAATAAATAAATAAAATATGTTTTCATCCTTGGATCGAATATTATTGTTGTTGTTTGATAAAGTTAAATTTTTTTTATCATTTTTTTCGAAAATAATAATAATAAAAGTAAAATGCCGGACCAATGGTCTATTTTAGGTGGATATAGCCATTGAAAATTTTATTTTACAACGAAATAGTTAAGCATCATCATCATCAGTGGTAGTTATTATTATCGTTATTGGACAAATGTCAAACAACAACAATGAAAGCACAATTGAAATTCGAGAATAATGAACATGGACAGCCAAAAATATTATAAATAGACTCGAGTGTCCGGTATAAGGTAGATGACAAATGGGACAAATGTGAGACAAATGAAATAGAATTATCGGATCCAAATGGGGTGGATATAGAATGACCTCGATTTGAGAAAAATTTTTGAAAAATTCCTCCCCCCATCACAAAAAAAAATTAAACTTTACAAAATGCTTGTTTCGGCATCTTTTTTTATCATCATTATCAACATCCAATCGAATTTGATTATTATCATCGATTGGACATTGTTTTTTTTTTGCCAGTTTCTTTTTCCTTTTTCCAGTTTTTTTGATTAAAATCCTGATTGTGATCCAAAAAAAAAAGTTTTAGTTGGAAAGAGAAGGGAAGAAGGGAAAGAAACATTTTTTTCAGTTTGTTTCAAAAACTTTGTTCATTTCTCTTTGGAATTTCATTTTGTTTGTTTGTTTGTTTGATGAAAAGTTTCTTTATCAGTCGAGACAACAAAAATGTAAATAAAATAACTAAAAACTATATGCACCCTGGTATATCCAGAATCCGGTCCTCTGATTTGAATATTGAAAAAAAAACAAACATTCCAACTTTAAAATGCTTTTTTCACTTGATTTTAACTTTGTTTTGTTTTGTTTTTTCGCTTTGGCCAATGTAAAGACAAACAAACAAAGATGATAAATATCACAAATTCCAAATGTTTTTTATTCCATTTTTTTGTTTAGCTTGATTATCACACTATTTTCTCTCATCATTTGTATGAAGAAAATAAAAACATTGAATCTCCATATATCGTATGAGATTCAATGTTTGAGATTCCAATCATCCGTCCAAGAATATAAAAAAAAATGCAAGCTGGAAAAAAAATCCATAGGTTTTTTTTGTTTGTGTTTATTTGCTTCGTTATTTTCTGTTTTCTGTTTTCTGTTTCTATTTTCCTTTCCAAACAAACAATCCGAAACAAATACCATTCGATAAGTTTAAGATTATATTTGTTAGATACATTTTTTTTGTTTTGTTTTGTTTTGTTTACTTTTGCAAATAGTGGGGCGAGAAATTTACAAAGAATCGATCAAAAGAGGAAATCCTTAGCCACCCTGCAAATGCTGGGAAGAAGCAAAAAAATAAAGTTTTTTGATTGAAGGATTGTAAAACTTATTATTATTTTTTTTCAAATTTGAAAAAAAAACTTTCTATTTCAACAATTGTGAAAGTATGACAGTGTGGGTGAAAATAGAAAAGAATTTTCTCAAAAAAAAAAAAAACTTTGTTACAAAATCATTCGAATTTTCGAATGTTGTTGTTTTCAACTGCAGTTCAAAAAAAAAAATGATTTTTACCCGAAAATAAACCCAAAACGATTCATAATAATAATATCCGATTCTACGGATATTTACCAACCGAAAAAAAATATTCAAGTAACAGGGAAAGGGATCAAAAAAAAAAAAAAAGATGGGGTTTATGATAAATATCCGAATGATATTATGATGTTTTTTTTCCTGTTTTCAAAAAAAAAATGATTTTTACCCGAAAATAAACCCAAAACGATTCATAATAATAATATCCGATTCTACGGATATTTACCAACCGAAAAAAAAAATTCAAGTAACAGGGAAAGGGATCAAAAAAAAAAAAAAAGATGGTGATTATGATAAATATCCGAATGATATTATGATGTTTTTTTTCCTGTTTTCAAAAAAAAACCAAATTTTCTCAAGATTGTGCTTCATAAGAACCATATTAACCAACGAAAAAATCTAAATGAAAAAAATGTCTTTTTTTTGTGGAAAATCGGTGGCAACAAAACGACGACGACGACGACGACAAAACAAAAAACATACGGTAAAGAATATAAATGAAAAATGAACGAATCCAGAATATATATTTGAGTGAGAAAGTTTTGAACGGGTAAACAACAACATTTATTTTGATTATTGAAAATCTGTATACGAATATGAATATAGCGAACCAAAATCGAAAACCAGAATCGATCGAAATGAAAAAAACATTCGAAATTCTTTTTTTTCCATGCAAGAATTATGATTGAAAAAAACGAAATTTATTTCAGAAACAAAAAACAAGTTTTAAAAACTATCACCCAAGACATACCTTGTAACCATCCGGATCAATAGCCGAAACAATAATTGTATAGTTTGCTATTTGTTCACGATCTAAACAACAAACATTTGTTATTATCCAACCAGATTTCGAATCAATACGAAATATTTGTTGACCATTTTCATTGTAATGATTTTTTTCGATAAAATATTCAAGTTGATTATCATCAGAATCATCATCCGTATCATCATCATAATAATTATCATAATCAATAGCATAAACCTGTATGATTGAAATATTTGCCCAATTATTTTCGGTAATATTTCCTTTGTAAATATTTTCCATAAAAAATGGTTTATTATCATTAATATTACGTAAATAGATGATAATTTTTGCCCAACTAAGCATCTGTTTTGTTTGTATATTTTGTGCATATGCATTTAAACGATATGTTGGACGGCCATTTGGATAATCATAATCTAATGATTTTAATAAAAATATTTCACCATTTGTATGATTGATTGAAAAATTATCAATATAATTCGGTAATGGTAATCGTTTTGTTGTTGAATCAATTTTTATTCTTCTGTTTTTATTATCACCATCATCATTATTATTATCACCATTTGAATTGTCGTCGTCATCATAGTCATTATCATCATCTTCATCATCTTCGGATGGTTCAAGAAAATAACGTATAAAATGTTCATGATCAATAATGTTTGTATTATCATCATTCGTTAATGTTATCTGTTGTAAATTAAAGAAAGAAATGTAAAATAAAGTTTATAAATTGAAATATAACTGGAATAAAATACAGTAATAAAATTAACCACAATGTAATAAAAAAATAGAGAGAAATTTCCCGGGAATGTATTTTTTTTATTACATCATCATTAGAAATGTTTAAAAGTTTTTAGATGTTTTATTTTTGTTTTCGACACTAATAAAACAAACTTGAAATATATCTACAACTGACATAAATCTAAGAAAGTGTTGAATGTATAACCGAAACATAAAGATATTAAAAATTCTGTTAACCGAGGTTATAAAAAAAATAGGAGAAGAAAGAATTTATTTACTGTAAAATTCTGTGATGACAGTTATACTATATAATTAATGTACTATGAAAATTGAATTGAAATGAAGTGAACTTGTTTCATATTGTTTGACCATTGTTTGACTTTCTCTCGAAACTTGTCAACTTGTCACCAAAGAATTAAAACCACACACACACATTGAAAAACCAGCGAAAAAAAATGATTAAAATTGATGAATTTATAAACAAGAATAAACAGAAAATAATTTAGATAAATTGAATTTTGAAAAACTAACTTAAAAAAAATGATTGCATTTCTATCAGTTTTTTTTGGATTTTTGTTGTTCCAATCAAAGGTCAAGAACCAATTATTAAATCGAAAAGTAAAGTATTAAAAAAATATACATGCCTGTAAAAGACGTTTAGGTAATGAACGATCATCTTCTTCATTAATTTCAATTTCAAATGTTGGCCATTGTTGTTGTTGTTTATCATTATTTGTTGGTCGTCGTTGTTTTTTCTTCATCATCACATTATTATTATTGGCTGGCCGTAGACGTTGTTTGTTTAAATATTTTCTTCGTTGCCAATATTTTCGATTATATTGTTTGTTGGAATCTATGTGTGTAACGAAAATTTTTTAAAAAAATATAATAACGAAGAAGGTATAAAATGATTATTATTACCTGGACGAGAATTTTGATATTGTTTATCATTACCATTATTATTATCACTATTGGCCATTATTGTCGAAATTGTTGTTGTTGAAGGCGTTATTAAGGCTTTTATGTAATAAGACTAGAGAAAAAGAAAAAATGAAAGTGATGGTGGTGAAAAGAAAAAAAACCACAACGACAAATGATGAATGGACTCAAACATTTTCCAAAATATTTTTCATTTTGGATTCCAAAACAGTGATGAATCGTACGAGAATAACAAAAAAAAAGAAGAGAAAAACTTACGTTTGAATTTGAAATGGATGGATTCGTTTCTGGCAATGATGATATTGAATGATTTGATTGCCGATGATATGAATGATGATGATGATGATGATGATTATATCGATCATCACCATCATCATAATCGATAGAATTATTATTATCATCATTGTTGGCAGTAGTAGTAGTGATGATACGATTTTTATTCTTTTTAGGTATACGATATTTGGAACGATTTCGATATGGTTGATAAGGATGATGTTCAGTATCAAGATGATGGATTCGATGTCCAAGACGAACTATTAGATGGAAAAAACAATGAAATATTTCAAAAAAAAGTGAGAAAAAACAATGATTGAGAATATTGAAAATATTGGAAAATCGGGAATACATTCGATTTCCCGAAAAAAACTTTTCGAAAAACATTTCACAAAATTTTCGAAAAATTTTCCCCTATTCTGATTGCCAGATTTTTTTTATTTATTTCACCATTTCCTAACACTCCTGTATTCAGATTTTGTTCAAAATGAAAATGTCATAAAGAAGTAAAGAAGGTCGTTATTGTTTACACATCTCTAAATACTAAATAATAAAATTCTCAAACAGCCGAAAAGAAATAATCGATAAAATACCCCTCTGAAAAAAAACTATCAAACAAAAATCTTTGCTATATTTACTCTTGGGTCTTTTCTGATCGTTTATATTTTTGGTGTTTGTATTATGGTCATCATCATTATTATGATTATGATTATGATGACCATATTTTTTTCAAATTGTAAACATTAGAAAAAATAGTAAAGTCAAGCAAACAAACGAACGAAAAAAATTGACCCGAATTTCGAAAAAAAAATAACCGACTAAATATACAAACACACATCAATAACCGAGAGAAAGTAATCTTGAAAAATTTTCAATCGTTATTGCTTGTTTCGCGATCCATTCTTATTTACAATTTTCAACAAATTTCAAAAAATAGAAAAAAAACAACAATAAAAAAAAGAAGAAAATATTTTTTATTAAAAAATCAGTGAAAAACTGAATTTCGACTGAATTAGTTCAATTATTTGTTGTTTTTGTTGTTCTCTCTTTCATCAAACAACAACAACAACAACAACAAAGCTAGGGGAAAAAAGCCAAGATTATTCTAAAACTTTTTTTCTTTGTTTTGAAAAAAATCCAAATTCATTTCAAACATCATCAACGAAATAAGTAAGTATTAAACAAACGAACAACAACAATTTTTCCAATTACATTAATTAACATTATTTGGATTCTGTTTGGTACATATCCAATAACTATTTATACACACACACACACACACCGATTCTGTATTCTATAGAATTCGATATAGTGAATCGGGTTGAAATAGTGGATTTTTGTTTTTTGTTTTCACTGTTACGGTTCTTGTTGCATGGATTAATTTTCATCATCATCATCATCATCATTATCATCCTACTCCATAGCAATGTAAAAATCAAGTGTCAAGAATCAGAAAATTCAACAAAAAAAAACAGAATTATAATTATAATGAAATGAACAAATAATAATAATAATAATAATTTAATAGTGAAAAACAGAATAAAATTTCGACATAATAATGATAACCGTATGGTAACAACAACAACAAGAAAATAATGAAAGAATTTTCATTTTTTTTTCAACGGCGAAATTCTTGGATTTAATCATTTTTTTCATTCGCTTATTCATTCATTCATTCCCGTATTACGATTCCCGAAAAAAAGCCGGTAATAGTATGTAGTAGTCGATAGTCTCGTTTCATTCTTTTCATGGGTTGAGTTTTGTTTCGTTTTTTGCATATTAATGATTTTTTTGTGTTTCGTTTTCATTCTCATTTTATTCTCTACAGTTTAGTTTTGTGTTTTTTTTGTTTGAGTTTTGTAATCAGATGAATAATTTTCATTTCATTTCATAATCGTGTTAATTTTTTGCTAGGTTACTCTGAACATGAAAGGAAATTCCACTGAATTGAATCGGAAAAAAAAATTCCCAGCAATCAAGTCAAACGAGAGAAAAAAAACTTATCAGATCAGATATAAAAAACGATATAAAGCGATTGTGAATGGACAAAGCTTATATGAAGTAAAACAAACAAACAAACAAAATGTTAACAATGTTCTTGTTATAGACACACACACACACACACACAGTCTGACCTGACACTTTTGATTGCACTTTAATTGTAAAATTTGACATTTGGATTCATATTACATTTGAAATATAAAAACGAGAAAAAAAAGGATTGAAAAATGAAATTTGAAACAAGCGAAGAAAAAAAATTTTCGATTCAAAAGATCGGAAACGCTAAACAGGAATTGATTGTCATGATTGTTCACAATGTCCATAACAATGTGAGATTGAAATGAAAAAAACAAATGAATAAAACAAAATGACAATGTCAGACAACACACAAAAGAAAGAAAAAAATCTTGAAGAATTAAATGTCCAAAGGATTTTAACGATGATGATGAAGAGGATGATGACCCTTGAAATGACGTCAAAGAAATGAAAAAAAATAGTCTCACATTTCCTTTTTTATTATATTCTGGAAATTCATCTTTTTCTTTTACTTGATTGATGTTCTATATTTACATTCACATCATCTTTATCATCATTTTCAAAACAGAGACTTTGTTGTGTGTGTGTGTGTGTGTAGGGAAAACAAAACAACAGATTGAATCAATCGATCGATCGATTAGTAAACAAAAAAAAAATGGATCCACCAAATGAAACAATCTAGCATTCTTTCCCTTTCTCCTTACACCCCCTTGTTGGCCCATCAATTTCCAAAAATAAAAAAATAAATGTATTTCCAGGAATAAAAATGGAAAAGAAAAATACATAATGCAAATGCAATGATGATAATACATCAGTCTATTTATATAGATAGAAATAGAATCCATAAGAATAAGAATAAGAAAAAATGAAAAAGATAGGCCAGATAAAAATCTTTATAATAATAATAATAACTGAATAATATATTAAACACAAAGTAACAAAATAGTTACAAATCAAGTGTTTAGTGTCTTAAAAGAAGAAACCAGATATGTTTTCTGTCTCTCTCTCTCTCTCTGCTTTTATTTTTTTGGTTGCGATCCAGAAAGATCCAGAAACAAAAACAAATCTGGTTCAATTTGGTCAGCCAAATAAAAACATGACGAAATTTGCAGCTTTTCTCCCACTCGTTTTGATTGAAACATCTCTGCAAAAATGCACCAAACAAAAAAAAACGAAAATACAAAAGAAATCCTATAAGCATAATGCATAACAATTACCGAAACAAAGAAAAACATCAGATTATGTAAAAAAAAGTTTTAAAATTTAATGATCAAAAAAATTTTTTTTTCAAGTCATTTAAACATCATTTATGGACAGGCTAACCGAATACAGAATCTTTTGTTTTTCAACAGATTTCCAAGAAAATCGAAGCAAAAAAAGAAGGAAAGAATTTTCTAGATCTAAATACAAGATTTGCCAAAAGTGTTTGAATACTTGAACAAAACATAGAAAGAAAAAGAAAAATTCATTACATAACCGACAAAAATTGATGAGAAACAAGAAAAAGAAAATTCAATAAATGAATTTTACACAAGAAATGAGTGATTTTTTTGGGTAACCTCGAAGAACTGAAGGAAAAAAAGTAAAGAAAAGAAATCCAATTGATCATTGGGAATGATTATGAAAACCATCAACCAAAGAAATGGACTAAAGTAAACATACACACACAAAAATACTTGACACACAAACACATAACATAAGAGAAAAAAACTTATAAGAAAATCATAAGAGAAAATTTTTGTATACAAAGTTTGTGTAGATGCAATTTAGATTAAAACTTTTTCTTTCTTTGCTTTCCGTTTGATTATTCTGAAGAAAATTGAATCATCACCATCTATTTACATCATCATCCATATGTGACGCCTTTCATTACCAACCAAAAAAAAAGAAAAAAAAAATGAAATATCATTTTGGACGAAAGTGAAAATGAAAAACTTTTTTCCACTAAGAGAAAAAAAAAGGGAAGAACTGGATGATGATAAAATGATGGTAAAAGAGGTGTGTGTGTGTGTGTGTGGGTAAATTGTCAATTGATGCGGCATTTGAATATCGATTTTGTTTTTTTATTGAATAAAAAAAAAGAGATAATTTTAAAAAATTTGAAAATAAAACTTTTTTCTTTTTGTCCCATCAATAATGATAATAATAATAATAATATCGATTGTCCAAAATCGATATTTTCGTTCATCATCATCGAAAAACAAAAAAAAAACAGTTATCCTAACAATTTGAAAATCCTGTATCAATTTTTTTTTTTTGAAGAGAAAAAAAACAGAATAATGGTAATAAAGACTGGAGGAATAAAAAAAATGGACATCATCATCGATATCGATATCGGATATTATTATCGCAAAAACGTCGAATCAAGATCTTTTTAATAATAAAAGATTGGTGGCTTTTTTTCTGTAAAAAAATAAATAATGATATCTAATATCGAATAAACGAAAAAGATTGGAACATTTCTCTCCATTTCTACGTCAATCAATTTACCAAATAACGAATATAAAGAAAATAAATGCCCATCGTCTAAAAAAAAAGTCTAAAATGAAAGATTCTTTTTTCCATTTCTTCTAAACATTGACATGATAATGATGAGTCTATCGGGACCAATATTAACAACAACAACAACAACAGCAAAAAAAACGAGAGATCGACCAAACCGAACTAACCGATCGACTGACCGACCAACTCAATGACAACCAAGATAGACACAAAAGTCAAGATCTAAAAAGAAGAAGAAGAAGAAAAAAAGATGTTTTTCAAATAAAAAAAAAATACGAAAATATCATAAACCATAAAATGACACTTTTTTCTCTCTTCTCTCACCATATACATACGGTATTTGGTAAAAAAAAAAGATGATGAAGAGAAATAAAAATGAACCAAAAAAACACTGAAAAAAAGACTAACTATCCACGAAAACTATTATGACAATGCCAGTGTTTTTTTTTTTTGGTGCCGAATTAAATGCGAAGAGAAGAAAAAAAAATTGAAAGACAAGATGCAAGAAGGAAAAATAATACTTTGTTACAAAAATAAAAAATTCTGTGATCAATATTATGGATTGAAACTAACGAAATGAAGAAGAAAGAAGAAAATGATCTGTACAATTATTATTATTATTGTTGTTTGTGTAAATCGTCATCTTTCGATGTTTTGTTTTGTAAACGAAAAAGAGAAGAGAAGAGAAGAGAGAAAGTCAATTCTGACACACAGAGATATTCTTGGTATTCTGGGTGTCTATAATAATGATTTTTAATTTCAAGAAAGCAAGCAAGAAAAACATAATGATGATGATGTGAACAAATAGATGTTATATTTTTTTTTCTTTTGAAAAAAATGAAACAATATTCATATGTTTTGGGCTTTTTTCTCAAATCAAATGAATGGGTGGAAAAGAAGATTTGAAAAACCAAAAAAAAAAAGTTTTCGAATGAAATGGAATCTGTTCGGGTAAGTGATATTGATTTACAGATTTACAAGAATACTGATGATGCAAAGTGTTGTTCTTTCTGTTTTCAGAGGATGAAATGAAGCAACAAAAAATTAAATACAAATTATATAAGTAAATGAAAAATAACAACAGGAAACATTGAACATTTAGTCCAAATGATGTCTGCTGTAGACAAAACTGAAATAAAACAAAACAAAACAAAAACTTTAAAACAGTTTAAAATCCGGAAAAAAACGAGGAGCAGAATTTGCAGAATGAACAACAAGGGTTATAAAATTCCGGGGTTATTGTTGTCATCATCATCATCATCATCATTTATAATAAGAGACTATGAAGAAATTGATTTTGAAGAAAAACAACTAACTAACTAAAAGAATTGAAAACAAGGAAATGAAACAAATTTCACTTGGGAAAAATTGGGAAAAACAGTTTAGGAAATGATGAAAATCATATCATCATTTTCATTTGAAAATAGCAAAGATCATCTGGCCAAGATTGTTGATTTTCAGTATAAAAAAAAAATTGTTTCTGTTTCTGTTTTTTGTTGTTTTTTTGGCGAGTTTTGATTATAAAATGAAATCTGGTATTTTGATTATCATCATCAACGACTGTTTAATTCAATTAAGAAAAAGTCTATTCGATGGTAAAACCGTAAAGAGATAGTGAGAGAAAAAAGACAACCGGATTTATATACAATTTTCACATTATCATCACCAATTACTGTTATTTTTTGCATTTAATTACAAGGTTTTTTTACAATAACTTACCATCATCATAATGGAATGAATTTTGATTGGAATCAATCGATGATGATGATATATTATTATTCAATAATGTATTATTATTATTATTGAATTGAAATGTATCATTAATATTTGTTGAATTGTTTGATTGATCTGGATCATCTAGGCCAACTTTGATATATTTTGTAACTAGAAAGAAAGAAAAAAAGAAGGGAAAAGAAAATTATAAAATTAGAATTATCATTTAAAACTCGGAAAACAAACAAACAAATCATTCGATCGAATGTTTGTTTCGAATCTTCCATCAGTTCCGCGACAAAACATTCGATTTGATCATCCAAAAACGACGTAACGGAATTTTATTCCAAAATTTTTCTTTTTTTTTGAAATAAAAAAAAGAAAAATTTGATCAAAAAAAATCTCAAAATACACAAGAGATCAATCCAATCTTTTCAACAACAACAAAAATTTAATGTTTAAAGAATTGAAAAGTTTTATCTCTATCTCTCTCTCTATTCATGATCATATTTATTGATTATGATGATGATTATAATTTTCATTATTATAATCATCATCGACAACAACAACAACAACAACAACAATCAAATTCAACTATATTCTCGATTCTGAGAACTAAACAAACATCAGCAACAAAAAGAAACCGGGTAAAAGTAAGTAAGAGTTTTTTTCGGCAAACGATGATGATGATGAATACAATCCATTACCCATGAGAATGATTCGCGATTGATAGAAAAAAAAGAGACCGAGATAGAGAGAGAGAAAAGTTTTTTTTTCGGTTTTCGAAAATCAAAAAAAAAAAAGAAGCCAAACGATCATCATCATCATGGAATGTTTCGAAGCAAGATGTTGTCTCTTTTTTTTTCTGTAATGTTATTTGTGAGTGGCCCGACAGGAAAAATAAACAACAACGACGACGACGACGACCATCAAAATACTGATCAAAATTCATGGATTCAAGTAAAAAAAGAAAATAAATCGAAAGTCTTTCCAACAACGGATATGACAGATTTTAAGGTAACTTTTTTTTTCTGTAATCGATTAACATAGTTTGTCGATAGATTTTATATTTTTTACTTTCATTTCTTATTCATCAATTTTTTCCCGCCGCTTCAAAAAAAAAACTTCAAATAAACTTGAAATGTACAAACTTATGGGAGAAAAAGTTTCTGAAAAGTTTTTTTTTCTGGAAACTTTTTTTCTGCCGAAAATAATATTTTTCTGCTGCTGCTGCTGTTGCTGATGTTACTCGAAATCGTTATCGAAAATTTAATTAATCAGGTCATTTTTTACAAGTGTCGACAATTTGATAATTTTTTGCTAATCTCAAAAACGATATGATAATGTTGCTAAACAGGCAGAACATAAAATCGATGGTAACTGATTTTCATGATTCGACTTTTCTTCTTAATAAAAGATATTATTTATAGCAACACTGTTGTTGTTGACATCGTCGTTGAGTTTGATCATCCATAATGTTATTATTTTTATTTATAATTACCGTATTTTTATTACCGATTCGTTCGGAACAACAACAACAACAACAAAATATTTTTGAAAATATTTATTATTGTATAAGTGAACAATCAAATTATCAAATTTTTCCATGTAATCAAAATAATAATGAACGTCCAGATTTTTCCCAACAAGAAAAAAATCAATCCAATATTATTGCCTATGCACGTTTTATTAATCATATTAATCGTACTGGTTGGTCGGAATTAGATATCGGTACAAATCCAAATCAAAATGATTATCTACAAGCATATTTTGCTGGTTATTTAGAAGGTAAATTAACTAAAAAATTAATACAAAGTTATCAATATAATATATTGGATGGTAATGAATGTCAATTATATAAAGATTTTATTGAAAAATCATTAAATAATACAATTGAACGTTCATTGAAAAAATCAAATCAAAATGATCCATATTGGATACAAATTCAATTACAATTATTACAATTAGCTGGTTTGGATGATGGTTATTTGAATACAAATATCAATAGGAAAATAATATTAAATCATCCAGATTTTATATTAAAAAATATCGATCCATGTGGTACAATATTATTACATCTTTATACTGAATATGATGATCTTGAATATCTATTGAATCATCGACAACCATCAAAACAACCATCTGAACATTGTTCAGCATTAATAAAAATATTACCAAACCGAAAGGATATCTATGTATCACATGTAACATTTGCAAATCTAAAATCAATGTTACGTATAATGAAACGTTATAATCTAAATTACCGAACAAGTAATTCAAAAACATTGGTTATGTCTAGTTATCCGGGTACATTATTCTCTATTGATGATTATTATATTCTTTCCGAACATATGATAGTACAGGAAACAACTATTCATAATTATAATCTGGAATTATATAAAAAAATTTCAATAAATGAAATGATTTTTGAATTTTTACGTACAATGGTTGCTAATCGTTTAGCTAGAAATGGTCAAGAATGGTCAAAAATATTTAGCTATTATAATAGTGGTACATATAATAATCAATTTATGATTATTGATTATAAAAAATTTCAACCTGATCAGCAAAAAATTCAACCGAATTTTCTTTGGATTCTGGAACAAATGCCCGGTATAATCATAGCAAATGATATGACCGAAATATTATTAAAACAAACATATTGGCCAAGTTATAATGTACCTTATTTTAAAGATATTTATAATATAAGTAATACAAATGAAATGTTTCGAAAATTTGGTGAACATTATTCATATGATAAATGTGGTCGTGCACAAATATTTAAACGTGATCATAATAATGTTTTGAATTTGAAAACAATGTATCATCTAATGCGTTATAATAATTTTTATAATGATCCATTATCCAGATGTAATTGTACACCACCATATACTGGTTATCGTGCAATATCATCACGTTGTGATTTAAATGATCCAAATGGTCATTATCCATTAGATGCTTATTCATTTCGTTCATCAGCCGGTTTAGATGTAAAATTAACTAATTATAATCATTCAAAATTATTACAAATGATTGCTGTTAGTGGACCAACATATGATCAGGTACCAGTATTTAGTTGGCAAACAACTAAATTGAAAAATATTAAACATTTAGATCAACCAATTGAATGGAAATTCAAACCAATTCTAACTGATTGGAATCATACAAATATCAATGGTTTCAATGAATTTCAATTTGATTTATGAACAAAAAAAACTGACAATTTCCTCATTCAACAACAACAACAACAAAAATTGACCACGTCAAATCGATCAACAAATAAATCAACCATAACCGTATAATCAATCAGTTTTTTTTCAAAATTTCAGCAAAAAACAAAGATGATAAATTTTTTATTGAAAATTTTCAAAGATTCATTCATGCACAGACGGTAAAAGAAGAAGAAGAGGAATATTCAATGTAAACACAGACATTCCAACGAGGGCAAATTATTTATTTATCAAATTCTTTTTTGTTGAAAAGTAAATAAATTTTAAAATTATAAACAAAAAAACATTGTAGTTGCTGATGTTGATACTTACCAAGATATGTTGAGGCACCGGTTAATATGAATAGAAATTTGATTGGTTCCAACATGATTGGATCAAATAGTGATGATGATGATCACAATGAAAATTGATAGCAAATTACTTTTGAGTTTCCAAATGAAACAAGCGAAAAAAAAATTCCAGAATTATGTTTGAAATTGGAAAAAATTATTATTATTATTATCGATACAAACAAACGAAAAAAAAATTGATAATAACAATGATGATGAGGAAAGAATTTGAAAAATGTCTTTCAAAATGAAATGATTCAATGGAAAAAAAATACAATCATCATCGATGATACAGAACAAGAAAAACAAGAAAAATACCAAGATAACAAGATAAATTGATTCTATTTTTTTGTTATTATTTTTCTTGTTTTCATTTCATTGTTTCATTCGTTGGATGCTGAAGTGTTGAAATTTGTTGTTGGGAAGCTGATTGCGAAATGAAAAAAAAAACAAATACTATTTTCACATCGGAAGATGATTGGCTGATTGGTCGGTCGATCGGTTTGGGTTGAAATAGAGAAAAAGCGGCGTTCGAAGTTAATGATTTTAGTGAAGAAAAACAAAAAACAAAACGAAAATTTAATGATTTTCAATCGATAGTGATTAGTCGAGAAAGATTGAGAAAGAGTAATCGAAAACAAAACTGTCGAAAAAGAAATTATTTTTTTCGTTGTTGTTGTTGTTGTATATTCATTCATCAAACGAATAAAGGAAAGGCACTCGAACCAAAAAATTCCGATGACAATGTTGATACAATAAACACCACATACACAAACACTGAGATAAAACTTCACTGATGAATGAATGATGGAATGAATCTGATGGCTTGAATCTTTTTTCTTTTTTTTGTTGCTGGTTAATTCGTTGAGTGTTGTTGTAGATGGATGTGATCAGAATTTTGAACGAATTTTTTGCCGTTGTTGTTGAATACTGAATGGATTCTGGATTCTGGAATCTCTGTGATGAAAAGGAATGAGCAAAAAAAAGAAGCTATGTGAGTGAATATAGTGATAGAATCTAATAATCAACTATACTGGCTTATATGATGATTAATTTTCCGTAGATAAAATAATGAATTTCATAGAATTAGTTTCTGGTATTTTTTTTCTTCTTTTCATTGGATATACCAAAAAAAAAAAACAAACTATTTCTACCCAAACACATCCGAATCAATTTTTGTCAAATTTAATCAATTTATTCATCAATGAATCTATATATAGATTATCAATGAAAAAAAAATTCATAAATGACAGAAAATCACGATGAAAAGAATCACGGATATTGTTCGGAGAAATTTCTTTGCTTTGTTTTGCTTCACCGAAAAAAAAACGAAAGAAAAACCACAAAATTTGGTTTAATTTATTTTCTACCGTTTGTCCGATTGGAAAGAATTAATGATCAACGATCAAAGATAAAAGAGACAGAGAAAAAAAATCGATCCGAATAACTTTAAAGTTGATTCCGGTATATTGATCCAGAAACAAAAGCAAAGCAAAAAAAAACTCTCCGATTCAGTTAAATGAACCATAGAGAACCGCGTAGATTCGGGTGTGTGTGTGTTTGTGAAAAATATTAACCCCGGAATTCCATTTCTGTGTGGAAATAGTCGACTGTGTGTTTATTTATTTTTCATCGCTTTCCCCCCCGGCCGAAAAAAAATTTTGATATATTTTACGAAAATCAACGAATGAACGAATGAAGAAACAAAGATTTCACTATAAGGTAAAATGATATTCAATTTTTTCTTATTTGGATTTGATTCCAAGAATTCCGGGAATATTATTTACTTGAAATTGATGGGGAAAAAAGGGGGAAAAATAAAATTCTTGCAAAGTCATGCAGTTTTTTTTGCCAATGATCATCATCATCATTTTACGAAGTAAAATATTGTTTATTCAATAGAAAATAATGTTTGTTTATATAATCAACAACGAGAGAAGAAAAAAAGTGAAAAAAAGACGAACTTTGTTGTTTAACGATCATTTAGTGTGGTGTTCAGTGGTGTTTATTGGTGGAAGTCATCATCATTTTATTGGTTGTGAATATCCAAAAGGAAGAAATGAAATGAAATGAATGAATGTCCGAAAGGAGAAGAAGAAAAAGTCAACTTTTTGAAATTCCATTATTCATTTAGACTTTAGTTTAGTTTAGTTTATTCTGGTTAATGTCATTCTTCTTTCCTTTCATTTTATTTTTGATCTTTGGTCAAAAGAATTTTCATTATGAAATCTAACCTAGCAACCGGACCAACCGACTGGCTGACCAGTCAACTATAATGAGAATAAGAGGCAGTCAGAGAGAATATTCTGTAATGATGTTTATGTGTGCCACCGAACAACTAGAGAATTCAAGAATGAAGATTTTTTGTTTTCGTTTTGTTGTTGTTGTTTATTTGTTCATTTGTTAGTCCATATAAAAATGCAAAATAAAAAAAGAAAAATACCGACAAATTCTTCGTGTTGTTGTTGTTGTTGTTGTTCTGAATGAAATAAATGACTACTACCATACTACTCCTGTTTCTTTATAGTTTTCTTTCTACTTCACACTCAAGTCAAAATGAATAATGATTCTTTATTACATTTTATAATAATAATAATAAAGAAAAAAACGTTTTGGTAACTTGGTTGATGTAATAAGTATGTGTGCTATGATTCACTACATTTTTTGCATTTTGTTCCAGCCAGCCAAAACAAGAATCAGAAATGAAAAATTTTTCAAGTAAATGAAAGTTTCTGTTGTGAGGAAGAAGAAGAAAAAACAAGCAAAATTTGAAATGAACAAATGAATTGAATGTGGAAAGAAATCAAAGAAAAATTCTCATTTTGTTGTTGTTGAATAAATTGTAAAGAATATATCTCTATAATTCGATTGTAACGATATTTTTTTGGGATCAATTTCTTCTGGGTTTTAAATCCAAATTTCTATTGATATTTTGGAAAATAATGAGAAAGAAATTTCCACTTTTTTTCTGCAGTGTTTGATTTATCAATCATCCAAAGGCTGGTTCTATCATCGACAAAAATGAATTTTAAAAATCTTTACACAAACATTGATTTGGCGAAAAATAGCGTTGTTGGTCGTTGTGTTGATACGATTTGAATGAAAAATGGGCAAATATTAAAATCTTTGATGAAATCTACACCACCACCAACCAAAAAAAGCAAATTCAAACAAAGATTTTCGGTTTTCTTTTCATTGAAATGAAGAAGAAATGAATTTCAATTTTCAGGAACAAAATGAAATGAAAGGATTTTTTTTTTGATTTCAATTTTGTGGTCCAAATGAAAAAATCAACAAAATTTCATTTTTTTAAAAAAAGAATATTACGGATGTCAATCTTTTTTCAAGCCTTTAGGCTTTTTTTCAGTCTCTCTTTCCATATTTGTTTTCATTAAAAAAACTGGGGTAATTTTTTTTTCACTCATTTTGTTTGTGGAATTTCCAACATCTGAAAAAAAGAAATGAAAATATGAAAATGGACTTCCATTTCCCATTTTTGTGGGAAAATGTTTATGTCCATAATGCAAAAAGAAAAAGGAAAATTCATTTCAATTTTCAAACAACCAAAAATGAGAAAATGGATTTCTTTTCATTGAATTCATTCAATGATTGCCCAAAAAAAAGCTGTTTATAAAGAGGTTGGATGACATAACCGAACCAAAAATCGTTTTATTTAAAGATGAAAATAAACGATCAACATCAACTTGGGAAAAAAACCAAGTTTTCCAACGAAATTTCAATCCAGACGATGAAAATTGGCTTTAAAAATTTTTTTTCATCAATTTTACAAACAAATATTCATTGTGAATGATTTCAACAACAACAGCAAAAAAATTTTCAATTTTTAGATTGGCGAAATAAAAATCAACAACAACAAAAAATCAATTTGAACTGAAAATTGAATGAAAAAGAAAATTTCAATGAAATTCATAGCTGGTGAAATTCATTTACCTTTATCCAGAATGATTTTCTTGAATGGAAAATGGATTTGATTGAGAATAGAGAATGAATTTTCTGTATTTCAACAGTCCGAAAAACATTGAATAACATTGAACGAAGAAAACAAAACAAGAAAAAATGTCTGGGAAATTCTTTCCAGAAAAAAATGATTCATGAATAAAGACTGAAATATCAATTTCAATCCCAAAATGAAATGAAATGTAATCAACAGCGAATTTTAAGGCGAAAGAAATCTGAAATTTGAATCAAATGATGTTACAAAAGTACATTTACCTTTTTGGTTTTCATTTCATTATTCTCTTGCTTTTTTTTCAAATATCAACAACAGAATTACATTTAAAAAAAACAAACATTTAACATTTATCATTGAACCGTGTATGAAATTGAATGAAAAACCAAAACCAAAAAAATCAAAACCCAAAAATAGAATATGTTTTGAGCGGAAAAATATTCTTATATGAAAATGAATAGCAAAAAGATTCATATAGATTAAGTGGAAAAAAAACATTTAAAAAAGCATGAAAGAAACAAGAAACAGAGAAAAATGCAGTGATGATGAAAATTGCCAAAAATGCTTAATGGTATTTACCGTTTTCATATCTACATTCTCTCTCTCTCCCCCTCACTCTTTCACACGCACAATTTGATATTAATCACATCATCACTATCATCATTATCAACAACGACAACAACAAAGCAATTTTCCCTGCGTAACTTGAATTGGTTTGTTCCAACAACCAAAAAAAAAAAAAAAAAATGGAACCTTTTTTCATCAAAAGTCAA